ATTATTGCTTTCATACCGTGAGTACTTTTTATACACAGACAGCTGAAGTACCATAAAAAGGTCCTTTATATTGTTGCATTGGAAAGAAAATGTAACTAAACACTCTTCCTTCCTGAGATTGCAGTGTGATATATGCCATCCTGGGTTGTTAGATACGCAAACCAATGCAGAGTCTTCAATCGGTGCAGCGATGGATGACAATTATATTCCCAAGAAAATCAAGAAGTGTATTTTTTTTCTTAAAAATCTAGAAAACCAGAAAGATCTTGTAGAAAAGACTGCAAGAATTATGCATAACAGTCAGTACAAAATAGCACTGTAACTTTAAGGTAGATTAAAACATAATTTTGAAATAAAATTATTTATGAAATTAAAGTTCTATAAAATGTATAAAAGTGGATATGTCTGAGACCTACTGAAAATTACCTAACAATTATTTATCCAGACAATTTATAACTATTCACGGAAACTCTAGGCAGATTAAAATGCTGGATTCACACTGCAGATCATCAGTTAATAATAACATCATACTGAAAATAAACTCCATAGAGAATTACCAAAATAATATTAGATTATCATCAATAGGCTAATTTATTTTAACTTAATAAATGGTTATAAACTGAACAAAAATTAACATCAATTTGCACTAAAGTATAAATACAGAAATGTTAATAACAGTCATTTTGGCAGTAAATGTATACTGAAATTATAGAAGTTATGATATAGGAGTACTTTATTGTCACCAATATTTCTATAGCCTAATTTTCAATTTCTTCTTCTCTACATTCAAGTTACTGTTTAAGGTACTAGTGGTCACTTACAACCAATCTTCTACTTTTTAAATCAAAAATATAAGAAATAATAAAGATTTTTTGAAACTTTAACCACTCAGTCATTCACCTCAGGTTCTAGTTGCTTACATACAGTACTAGTCAACCACTCTGTTCCCTTACAGGGAATAACAGGGAATATTCTGTTATTCAGGGAATAACAGAAAAGTGAGTTGTGAGCAAAAAATATCAAATCTCTTAAAGGAATTAAAAAGGAAAAGAAATCTATTCACTAAACATACATGTCTCTTCTTGTGAACCACCATTCATGAATTTATACATTGTCTGCCCACAATAGTAAATGTATATTTACATCCCTAACCAATATCCTATGACCATTTTAATACATTTTCGATAAATGTTACACAACCACAAAGAATCAAACAACCTGCTCTTGTTCCCTGATCAGTGTTAACATTTGCTATGCATTCTATTTATTTCCAAACATCAGAATTCTGACAAACACTTCCCAAGCCTTCATAATAAATGAATCCCTCTGCAATTTATCTTTTCCTTTGATTTATAGAATAAGAATAGCATTCTTCCAATACACAGTAATGGATTTAGGAAAGTTAAAGAAATCCAGAAGCAAACCATTGCAGTATTTTAGCATTTCTCCGGCTAAACCATTCATACAAGCATTTTTTTAACCATGTTACAGAATTTATAGCATTCCTTTCAATGTCAGTCATTAACATATCATTATCATCATTCCCATGCAAATCTCTAAAATATTCCTGACAGATTTCTCTCAGTTCAACTTCAGTCCAATAATTTTACCACTTTTACTTTTAAATGTATTCATTTTGCATGAGGCTTCCCAGTTATCCCTTTTCAACCACTTTTAGAAATATTTTTATTTCAACTTTTTCTCTGCCTCTTTTTATCTTAGCCATTCCTTGCTCTCTTTGAACTACATTTTATGCAATTACCTTTTCCACCTATACATGAATACCTTTTATCATTTTATCAACAATTTTATGTGCATTTTTCTTCATCTACATCCTTTTCACTTTAGAATTTCACTATCATTTTAATGCTCCCAATTTGAATAACTTCAGATACTTCTGTGTCATTCCATAACATTCTTTCAGTTTCCATACCCTTTTCTTCATATTCACTCTCCGTTCATTCTGTTAAAAAATTAATCTTTCTTTTAATATGTTTTTCATATAACACTAATAATTTCTTTTCTCATCATTGATCTATTTTAGCTTTCTTTTTTCCCATATCTATTCCTAAGATGTATTCTTTATCCTATGAAAAAATAACTCTACTTTCATAATCTTTCATCTCTTCTGTAATTTTCAGTAATTCTATATTTCATCATGAGCAATCAAGTCAATCATGCTTTGGAACTCCTTGTCCGTGTGTACACAGAACAGACGTAAGCCACCCAACTCCAATGGAGTTTTTAACCCAACCTATGGTTCTATACATTTTTTGCTACCCCTCTACATTCTGCTGAACTAAGAAATAAAGAATTATGCAGTGTTCTATTATGAATTCAACTCCTTCAAAGCCATTTCCTCCTATCTGATAATACAGTTTTGGACTTCCCAATCTTCCATCATACTCTGAGAATACTTATCATAGAAATCTATGGTAATGTCAAAAAGAAATATTGTGAACTAATTATGAATTCTATTGGTTTGTCTTTTTGATTATTAGGAAAACAATGTTCTATTTTCCAGCTCTGGGGAAAAAGCCAGTTTTACCTAAAATAATAATATTGGCATTGTAATATAAACTGATGTAATCTGAATTAATATAAGAACCAAAGCACAATGACTTTGGGACAACCAAAGCACAAATATCCTTTGGCTTTTGAGCTTCTGAAAATATTGCAGTGCAATTTTCAGATCAAACAGAAGATAAATATGAATATATCATTGAAATTTATACATAAAATGTATACATTAGAGAAAATATCTACATGACATAGACTGAAGAAAAATGTTTCCACAATGTATTTGCATATAAATTCCATATGAATTTTTATGCAGTTTTAATGGGAAAAATGTGAATGAAACATAACAGAAATATTTGAAAAAGCCAAACATTGTAGAAATTGAAACAAAAATTTGTGTATATCCTCTTCTAGCAATATTGGATAGGAGTTAGCTTTCTTATCAAGTGATAGTAATACTCCAAATGTGGTTGCAGAACATTTTAGCTTAAGTACAAATTACTCTCCAATTAGTCAAAAGTTTGCAGTATAACATGTTCCAATTTTACCTGACTTAATATTTTAAGATAAAGCAAAATAAATGAAACAACATCTAACAGGAATTTTTAACTCTGAATTTATTTTTAAAGAAACATTCTGAGAATGTTTACATGGCACGACTGAACCATATAGCTAGGCCACAGTTAACAGTTTCACTTCCATGTACTGTATACCAATTCATCATTGGCAACCCAGTGTAACAACCATTATATTAGGCCTCCCGGCCATTACCAAAGAAGATTTTCCTAACTTATTTATCAGAGCCAAATAAACAAATCTACAATGAAACTGGTGATACCATAGATAAAATGAATCCCAAATGGTATGGATATTACATCAGATAAACACTAATCCCTTTCTGACTCTTTTTACAATATGGTGATGCAGTTTAAAAAGCTAAGTCGATTTGACGTTAATTTATTGGCAACAATATGAAAGAGGTTGGTATTAACTTCTGGATATTTTTTTTATTTGCAGTTTACTTTATAGCCCTGAAATTTCCTTTTGGTCTGACATCCATCTATTTATTAGGTCTGACTCTGCTTAATTTTTTGAAATCAGGTATATTCTACCATCTGCTATAATCTGGACAGAGTTTCTCAAGAATGTTTATATTCATAGGACTTGTCTAGGACTAAAGATATTTATCTTAATAGGGAAAATGTGGCATAAACCCCAGTACTTGAATGATACAACATCTCATGAAATACTTTAGCCTTTAAAAAATCAGTTATCAACATAAATTGTTTATGTTGCTAATCCCATTTTCCTAGTTAGATTCTATTATAGCCAGGTCCATTCATGCTAATAGCATATAGATTTACACTAACAAACTTGGGGAAAAAAAATCTTTATCTAGCATGACCGACCATAAAAGAAGATATTTTCTTGAATTATTAGGAAAAAATGTATCTTTCCAATACATATGGGAGGGAAGTTCTGGGGAGGAGACAGTTTGAGGGATGCATGAGATTGGAAGGAGAAAATGCAGCCTGTCATACAAGTGACATTGTTATCACTAATTTAGAATACGTTTGGAAGAGTGTTTGGTGGATCTACTTTTTGAAAAACTAATATTGAACCAGAGGGTTTTTAAAAATATTTTTAAACCTTTTTGTAAAGCAGTATCCCTACCCTACACTTTGGCAATTGTATATAAAAAGTGCAAACATTTATATTGTCAATGACATGAAGCAAAATGCTTCTTATTATGCTATTTTATGTTTACTAGCATTCTTCCCTCTTTTAGTTACATTCAAAAAGGCACAGATAAGTATACTGATCTAGAGTATGAGTATTCGATTTAAAATACAAGGCCACATCTTAAAATCTTCACTAACATTTGTAATGTAATATAATGTAATGTAGTGTAGTGTAATGTAATGTAATGTAATTTATATTCCATCTTTATTATTTTTACAAATAACTCAAAGTGGAGAACATATTCAACATACCTTACTCCTCCTATTTTCCCCCAACAACTCTCTAAGGGTTGGGCTGAGTGTGATTGGCCCAAGGTCTTACATACATACATACATACATACATACATACATACATATCTTGCAATCAAACATTATATCTGAATTGCACCTTCTTAATTCTCTATCACTGTAATGCAGCAATAAATCTGCAATAATAATGTTACCCTATTAAATACATAGAAATTTTAATCCATGGAAGGCTATTAATATAAATTTGTAGGAAGAAGTGTAATGTTCTGATGTTATACTGAAGCATACAAATTTTGATGTTCAACATTAAAGTATACAAATTTTGGAGGATTGGTTACTATTTATATTAATGCACTATTGACAAAATTATGGAGGGAGGGAAGAAGGTGTACAGGTGTTACTATTAATGAAAAATGAAACATGAGAAATGTATTGACAAAGATCACCAGACAAATTAAAAACAAAATAGAACAGTAGAAGAGACAGACCTGGGTTTCTTCTCCGTGATGAGTCCACTTCTTCTGTTACCACATCGTGCAATGGACAGACAGAGACACAAAGAAGATGGACGTGAGTGGATGTACTCAGAAGGTAAAAACTGACACTGAGGGAAAGGGCCACAATTGTTTGAGAAAGAAACCTGTAGTGCATAGTCAGTCAATGGGAAAAAGAAAAGATAGCAAACACTAAAAGGAGTAATTTATCCATTTGAACAAAAAAGGACCAGAAAAGGATCAGAAAAATAAGTTAGTGATCTTTTTAAAAAAATGTTTCATCTGTCTAACCATTCTATGTTCTAATTGCCTTGAAAAAGAAGAAGCATTTTCTAGAAAATTTAGTTTTGCTCAAGGATATTTAGCTTAAACATTTTGAGATAAAGTTAAACAGGAAACCCATGATACTTCTATATTAATTACTCTAAAGTTTTTAAATAAGTTTAGTGTAAGACAAACAAAAATAATTCTTTCTAGATGGCCTACTATAATGAACATTTGTAAATATGCAATATAAGATATATTAAAATTGACTGGTTTGACTTGAGTTGGTTTTACACTGATAATGAACTCATGGCATCCAACTTAATATTTTTTTCAGAACATTGTAGTACCTCACTTAAGTATTTTATATCTCATTTAATGATCAAGTAATTAACAGAAGCAAATTTAAGCAGAGTAATTGTCAGAAACATTACATTAAAATTTATCCTTCAAGTCTATGTACTTAAAAAGCAATATGGCTTCTCGGAGAACATTTTCAGTTCCTTTTATAGGAGTCTACAAATTTCTCAGCAGAATTCATCAGCTCTGAATTCATTCTAATTCATAACTTTCCTATATAGACTAACACTTCCTGAAGTAAATGAATCTCCATTGGACACAATGAAGTTACACTGGGGGATTAGATGTCTGTTAGAGGAAAGTAAATTCTGGCACTAGGAATCCAGATTATAAGAAGCACTATAATACTGAAAATACTAGAAACATCTTCTCTCCATCTAGGGATAGAGAAACCTGAAATAAATTACACTTCCACTAAATAGGAATTGATGCTATGTGTTACAATTACTCATTAAGTGCAAACTGCTACTCTATTATTATACTGTGGTCTCCGCTGTTTGAAGTATTAAAATATTGCAGTAAAATAAGTGATTTTATTTTATTTTATTTCACCTTATACACTTTATGGATTGTATCCATTTTAGAATTTCTGAGCGTATTGGGTAAAATATAAGTAATTAAATAAGTAAAAATAGGTAAATAAGAAAGTAAGCATGTCCAATATGTCACCCAAGGAAATATGTTGTTCAAGGTGCAAGCTTGCATTTATAAAAGAATTAGCATGTTGGGAGCTACTTGAAGTTCAACCTAGAACAAAGCATCCTTTGTAATAAATCCCACTGGGTTCAGTGGGATTACTGCCAGTAAAACATGAAAATGTCTTTTTCATTCAGTATTATTAAAATGTACAACTTTTAAAGATACACTCATCATTTTAATTATGACAGTGTAACATATTCTTACCAAAACCTAAACTTAGTAAAGCTTTAGTAAAATACTATTCATAAAAACCAACTGGCCTCTCATTTATTATTTAATTAGTTTATAAGCCATCTGACCACAAACAATTGAAGATAACATATAAAAGTTTTTTAAGAAGTCATATAAACTATGAAAATAACCACAACTCTTTCCATGGAACAATTTCTGAGCATCAAAGTCACAAATGAACAAAATATTATATATATATTCTTACATATGCTATGTATCAGCCCTTTCTGGATATTCCAACTGAAGATAAAGAAAATATAGAGAAAGACTCTACTTCCATCTTTAAAATCATCCTCAGTCATTGGAACTCTTCAAAAGGTTATTAACCATAAAATATCAAGATCCATTTTTAATTAGAAGATGGCCCAATGTAGACTAGAAATAATCATCCCACAAAGGAGGAAAATATATTATTTAAATGTAGTGTTTCTTTTAGTTTTATCTTCTATCACAAACACATCAATAATGCATAGAAAAACAAATCTGGGATAAAGAAAAACAAAAATCATTTAGTGCTCCCTTAAAAGAAAAGAAGCTCCATTATGCTATATAAACAGTTCCACCTACAACTTCCCATGCATTGTTTTAGACATGTTATAGATAGTGAAGAGGAAGAGAAGTTACAGAGGTGAAAAAGTAAGCAAGGAATTGAGAGAAAATACTGCTTTCCAATTAGACTACTTTCTGGAAAGAACAATTTCCTCTTCATTGATAAAATATAATTTGAAAGAAGGGAAAGTACTTTCTCTTCACTAATCTATTAAGAAATTTAGGATCCACTTCCTTAGCAGGGAAAATAAGACACATAACTTACTGCTTCTATCAGTACCTCTCTTTGTATGTGCTCCTAGGATACTCAAAATTCAACTTTCAAATACAACATTTGGCAGTTTTCTAGGGATCCAATTCTAATTTATTGTTTTTTGCTTTGTTATTTTCCTTTCTTGTTAAAGACAAATCTTCTAGATCAGGGGTAGGCAACCTTGGCTCTCAGGAATTCTGGGAGTTGAAGTCCATGAGTCATCAAAGAGCTAAGGTTACCTACCCCTGATCTAGATGAATCTCATAATCTACTTAGTTCTTTCATCTTCTCTTAATTATTCCTCCCTCAAAACCTTGCATTTAATTTTCCGATCCACCATTTTGATTGTCTTCTTCTATCTCTGTCAAATAACCTTACTATATTCCCTTTTCCCAATGTGAAAATGTACCAGTCAATCCTTCCAAAATGGCTTTGATCATTCAAGAACCTTTCACACATTTGAATTCTGATTTTCAGGCGCACAGGAGATGACAAAAGGAATGAGCTCAATATCTAATTTATGCCAAGCACTTTTTCTATTTGATCTGCATTCTAACACAAAATTTCTGCTACTATAAAAAAGAAACTATGCCACATGAGTAATCTAAATCTACATACTAAAAAATAAACAAATGAATCACAAATTTAGAAAAAAATTACACACACACTGATTACAAAAGCATGAAATGCAACAATTTTATAGTATCATGCTTTCAGGTGGTTTCCAAACCCTGACAAACCTGGCGGGGTATGATGTTTCTTTGTCAGAAATGATTTCTCATCAGTTACTGTATCATTCACCTTTTTCTGCTGGTCTTCCCATGTAACTTCTAGCGTAAATCAAAAGAAACCAGAGCTTGTCAGAAGGATTAAGCAATTTCTACAAGATACCTGTCATTATTTGATGAACTTTATTATTGAATAGTACATAATCACTGGTAGGATCAAATTTATGTTCTGGTCTTTATTCATTGATTATATGGTATTTGCAAAGAGTTAAGCACATTTAGCTTGGAATTTATTATTGTACACATATCCTACATGAATACTCCATATGATATAAACAGTATTGTTTTTGAAAAACAACCTTTCAAATTAATAGATTCTAACATTTTTACTCTTTGCTGATCCATCCTTATCAGAAGAGATTACAAGCTTAAATTTGACAGAAGAAAGTGAACAAAGAAAAGAACAGAAATTGGAGGCTAAGATAAAAATGTAGACAATCCATACACTACATTAGTAGTTAAATCAGCTTACATAGCACAGGTTTAATTGAATTGTTTCCTACTACTCCCAAATATAAAAGATGACACAAATTGTAAAAAGTTAATGTACTTCCAGTTAGTAATTAAAAGTTATTTTACAATATAATGATCATGCTAACATTTTAATATTATTTTATGAGTATTCTAACACTTCACTGATTTTTATTTTTTTAAAAATGACCAGAACAGTTTTTCAATAATATAAAAAATGTAATTAACAAAATATACCTTATATATTATGATCCATGTTTTAGAAAATAATATTACAAATTAATGAATCCATTTAAATAGATTAAATGCAATAATCTATCAGTTTCCATGAGACTATTTATTGTATAATAATTTATTATATAATGATTTATATTTATAACATAGTAATTAATCATCAATAATCCATTTATTATATAATAATACATACTTCTCTTTCATACTTATAATTATCAAAACCTAGTTAAGGTACTTCAACATATTCAGTGATGTTAAAATCCCTTAATGAATAAACAGATCTGAAAACAGGACACATAAACACACACTAATATATAAAAAGCTGTATTAAATATATGCTCATTAGCAAATATTTTCTTTCATCTGTTATGAAACTCCTCCCATTTTGCTTCACTGATTATTCTGAATTCTATTATTTTGAAGGAATCTTTCTATGGGCAATCCATAATTTTAGATACTTCTGTCACATTTTCCTTTATTCAAATGTTTTTCTGACTTTTCTCACTGAGTTGCTTCAGTTCCGCATTATTTTTCCTTTTATGCATTTTTATTAGTTACGTTTTTTGACAGTATTCCAAATATTCATTAACCATTTATAGAAAGAGTTTATCATGATAGCAGTTTTCTTATTTACTTTCCAGATGATTTGCAACACAGAATTTTCTTTTTGCTCAACCACAACCACATATTGTGACATTTTGCTCTAAAATGTTTCAGCAGTAGCATACATTTCCAATTCTGCAAAACCAGTACCATTCAACACAAACTTTCTGAAATGTCAAGAAGAAGCAATTAACAATACAGGCTTTGCTTCAAAATTCATAATACCAGACCATTAATAAAATCTATGAATATGAAAACAGTATTATTAGCACTATTTTTTTTTTTACAAGCTTGACATTAAAATGAGGGGTTTACAAGGCAATGTGACTGCAAAATTGAACACAGAATGATGCATACTTACTTGGGGCCTCCCTATGAACCCTTTTTGTGCTCATGAATAATAGAGTCAACAAGAAACAAAGGACTGAACTTATAATAAAAGTTTGATAATACCAAAGAGATCTATTGTTTGGAAAAAAGAGAATTTTCTTGCATTTTCTTAATGGTAGCATAGCATTAGAATTTAGGCTATATATTACCCCCTAATCACACTCTCTAAATGATTAGGCGATTTACAATGTAAGCATTATTTGCATATTGTCCCCACAATCTGGGTCCTCATTTTACCGATCTCAGAAATGTGGAAGGCTCAGTGAACCTTGAGGTCTGTCAGGATCAAACTCCAGGCTGTGGCCAGAGTTTGTTATATCTTTTAATGTGCTTTGCATGGTTCATATGCATAATACTTCAATACTATGCTGCATTTAGCAAGTGGCAATGCTGATATTATTCTGGTATCATCCAAAAACTTACCTGGGATATTAGGAATGAAAAACATCAGAGTATCTATTAATCTGATTCTAAAAATTTAGCAAATATAACCCAGGATATAATTTTATTTATTTATTAGAGTTATATCTAATATTAGAATTGATATGCATAGTATTCTCTCCTGTTTTTCAAATAAATATTTCCTGTAGTTTGAACCAATAGACAGTAACTGGCCCAAAGTCACCTGGTGACTTCTATAGATTAAAATTTAGCTTTCTCTAGGGCAGGCATGTCAAACTACGGCCCACGGGCCAGATGCGTCACGCCGAAACCAAGCCCACCCCATTGCTGGCAATGGGGAAAAAGTTGTGATAAGTCACGTGACGTCACGTATTGTTGCAAGTTTGACATGCCTGCTCTAGGCCAATCCAACACTTGAATCACTAACCATGCTGACTCTCTGTTAGGATTTCATGTCTGTACTGAAATTATTATGTTCTTTCTTTCTTAAAATGCAGTATATTGAATTATATGAGCTGCTATATTTATTTATTTATTTATTTATTTATTTATTTATGTACCGCTTAAGTGCAAGCACTCTCTGAGTGGTGTACACCAGTAAGCAATGTATATATATATTTACATTGCCCCCAACAATCTGGGTCCTCCTTTTACCTACCCCGAAGGATGGAAGGCTGAGTCAACCTTGAGCCGGTGAGATTTGAACCACTGACCTGCTGAACACAGTCAGCTAAAGTGGCCTGCAGTACTGCGCCACCTCGGCTCTTCTAAACAACTACATCACATATAGAAAAGTACAGTACCAATGAGTGATTGCCAGCTACAGGTATCCTTAGAGCAATGTGCTCCAGGCTTAGAATTATAATCCTAATAATAGTATAGCAATAGGACTACCTCTTTTATAAGCAACATATTGTTATATTAGATATTTAAAGATTTAACAAAGTAATTGTACTGAACAGCTTTAAGAGACCACAATTTTTCCTTGCATATGCTACAAAGCTAAACTTAAATTTAGGTAGAAATATCTTTTACATTTAGCACACTTCTTTATTCTTTAGTTGGTATATTTTCTAACTTCTCATGATTGATAAATAGTGTCCTGGAAAAGTATTCGGCATTAGCAAATCTATGACAAAATTTTGAGAAAAGAAGAAATTCTGAGAATGACTTCCTCTAGTAATAGCTTCTTCTAGTAATAGCTCTACTTACATAAACCAATATAGTAAGCACTAAGCCAGTGGTTCTCAACCACTGTCCCTGGGGGAGGGGCACAATGTCATCACTGGGATCTGCAAAGGCTTGAAGAAATGTTATGATTTAAATCTTAAGTCTTGGTGTCAGTGGCCTCAAAAGGTATTTAAAGGGGGTCCATAATGAAGAAAAGTTTGAGAACCACTGCACTAATAAAGATATAGCAGAAAAAAAAATTGTTGGCCAGAGGAAGATGTTTTGGTTGAACAAATACCTTAGTGAAATAAAGATGTTTAGATATTTTTGCAAAGGTTTTTGTTTAAGATATTTTATGAAAAATATAGCTGATTATAATTTGACAGACAGATACCTATTATTCTCCCATAAATATACTGAATATAAAAAAGCAAAACAAAAATTATTGATATCTATTTTTCATAGATGAATAGCTAATAAAACTGCCTTGCATAAAAAAGTAATAAAGCTTAATAAAAACTGCAGATACAATAGATACTATCCTTGCAGTAAAATGTTGCAGTGCATCTTCACATCTCCAACAAGAATCCATTTGTTCAGAATTCCAACAGAAAAGAGACCTTGTTATTCACAATCTCATTATTCACTGTTGCTAAATATAACCTATTTGTATTATCATCGTAAATAGTTTCAAATACTGTGTTTGCAGGTTATGACATGTGGTTTTGAAGTATTTTCTCTGCACAGAGACAAAAAACTGCATCTCCATTCAATCCATTTTCTCAGCAATCTGCAACATTTATGTATTCTTTATCCAAGAATAAGGATGCAAAGATTCTGGGGTGGCAAAGATATAACAGCTTCATTTTTTCTTTTTCCTTATATTGGGAATGAGTGGGTGATTATTATTATTTTAGTGGCTGATTTTTGTGTGTGTGATTTGTTTTTTGGTCAGTTTTCAGGGCTCCAGAGCTAAAATCTAATTGCATATAGCTGTACACTGAACGTAAGCCCTGCAAATAACAATGCCCACCTGTATACCATGCTCAGATAGATGAATTTATTATTCATCTTCAATAACCCACTCATTGACTTAATTTCACCCCTACACAACTGGTTTAACAAAGATGTCTCTTTTACAAAGAGAGTTTGCACAAATCTTGACTTTCAAACATAGTATATGTTAGTATATTTGATACTGCTTCTCTTTGATTCAGTGGAATACCAAGAGCAGAGCAGCAGGAATGACTGACTCTGGGTGCAAGCAATGAGGAAATGCAGTATCTGGCAGCATAGCAGCAACTAAGGAACGGAGATGTTAAAAAATGATCTGCTCTGGATATAAAAAATGGTAGGTACACCATTGCTTTGATTACAGTCTTATTTGTACATAATCACATGAATTAGTGCCAACCAATAGCAGAAAATTAGATTTCATACTGAAGTTTAGAAAAAAGTATAAGTTGTCTTTTATGAATGAAAGCATTGTATCTCTTCCACAATGTTCTCCTCAGTTTTCTGTAATTTTTTTCATTATTAATAAGACCTAGATTTAAGATTGTGTGCATGTATAATGATATAAATGGACATACATGCTAAAGCAGAGCAAAGCTAAAAAGCTAATAGCACAGCAACTAATAGGCAAAAATCTGGAATATACTTTCTGCATATAAATAGCAGCTAAAGTAAGATAAAATCATACTGAAAAAAGAGAAAAACATCACGCACACAAACAACCAATCTATCCACAATCAAAATCCATTTAACCTACA